TTTTAGTGTGTCGTTGGGTTTTATGGTTTTGCCCCTTTTAGGTTCCCAGGTTCCTGGTCTGGGTTCTGCAGTCTTCTGTGCTTGAGTCTACCTTCTGCATTACCTCATCCTGGAGGCTGTCCATCCAGTTAGCAGCCCATGTCCCCCAGCTTTCCTGTTTCCAGCAGTGTTGGGACTGTTGGTCTTGGGTGTCAGGGGGCTGAGACCTGGCATGATTGATTTGGCAGCCCAGGTTGAGCCCTGGGGCTGCTGTTAAGTGACTGCAAACTTTAACACACAGCCACCTGCCAAACAAGAACACGGTAAACGGACACTCCTCAATGATCACTGGCTTCTGTGATTGCATCCTGCCCACGCAGACTGACTTTGGCTTAGCCTGGCTCATGGTGATTACAGTTTTTCTCGATTGCTTTTGAGCATTTCTCAAATGACAATTAAGATTTGCAAAACAACAAGTGTAATCCCCACTCCATAATAACATTCATGCACACAGAACATCATTACTCATTGCTTCACACAAATTTCCAAATGTTTCAGTACATACAGCATTTGTCGCTCAATGACTGATGTGTTATCAATCAGGAATATGATGACAACGGAGATATGAACAAGTAGCTATAGCAGTATGGAGCCGAAAGGCCCAGTCAGGTGATTTTATTTATGATGGACACGGGCCTTAGTGTGCAGCTTAGAGCATCACCTAACAACACCAGAGTGGTAAATAACTGATGGTGTAAAGTCTACAGGGTGTGAACTACTGTGTTACTACTGAGTCTGTACAGAACTTAATGGAAAGAAAAGTCAGCCAACACAGAATGTGACTGGTAACTAATGTAAGTAAGCGATTGTGTCACACCTGTCCCCGGTTTGCTAATCAGGGAAGTGAGGATGCTCTGGGCTGGGTTCAATTATAGCCCAACCTTATCATCATTGCAGCACAGGGCTCAGTTGCTTCCTGTTCAGAGGTTTGTCTTATGGGGCTTGCTGGTGTCCTGTCTTCTGGCTTTCCTACATGTGTAGTCCTGTTTCCTCTGTGCCTGTCAGTAGCCAGCAGGTACTGGCTTGGTGGGGCCAGTGGCTTGGGCTTCATGGTGCTTGTTGACTGACATTTTGCCATGGGGCTTCTGATCAGTCAGTTTCAGTGTTGGGGATCCATGATTCCAAGTGGCCACCATCCCACTTCTTAGGACTTAGGAGGCATCTATACGGAAAGAAATTCCATAACTCCAGGGTTTGGACACTGAGGCCACTTTCATTAATGATCCTGTTAGCCATCATCAAACCAGTGGCCGTTGCCAGATCTGGAAAAAGATCAAATAAACGATTATCAGTTTTAACCTGGAACCTGTGTACAGTACTACTAATACATCTTGTGCACTTTTTATATCAATTTTTCATGCATACAATTGCATTGTAAAAAAACAAAAATCATCATAGTAACTGCTTTTGTTACTGTTATCATTAATTGTATTAACTTTAATTAACAAGTATTACTGTAGTATCTTAGGGAGCTGATCAAATAAAGTTACTAAATTTCAATGCCTGATTTTACACTTTTTTCTCTTATTGTCGAGTTTGTTGTCTGTTAGTTGGGAATAATTAGCAATTTGATTATGTAGCATTTATGGCAAATTTGTAATAGGAAAAAATAAATCTGGAATCATAGCATGTGTAACACTAACACTAACATCCCAGCCTTCATACTGCATCAGTTTGGTTATTCGATTTTCTAATGTTGTGTGAACTAAACCACAAAACATACCTTGCTCATGTGCCTTTGCTTGTAGGAATCTTCATTATAAATATGCATTATAAAATTTTTGTTACATCAAAATTTAATGGTGTGAATAGCAATTTGATTATGTAGCCAGGCTGTGGTCTCTGCCTTTGTTTTGTTAATTGTACTACTTGCTTCATCCCTGAGCACTATCAATACATCAGTGCGTAGGTGCCAGACCTGTGAGAACCATCTGTTGTGTCAAGACCAGGCCTGGCATGGTCAATCGGGAGAGAATTCCTGGTTGGCCGTTTTGCTGTTGTGTCAGTCACAATAATTGCATGAAATAATTGCATGTTTAAAATTCTACAACAATGCTTTAGAATGTTAACCAGCCGGTTTGCACATGTACAACAGACCATGATTGCTTTGCATAGATAAACACACAAATACGGCGACACATGTGTCTGATCGCTTGAGCGCAGTGCACGGTTGCAGAGGTGCCACAATTAATCGCTTGTTATTGCGAATCACAGTTACTGGAAGTTTCTCAAACGATGGACAGTATAAATATACCAGGCAGGGCTGAGAAAGTCAGACTGCTTAAACAGTTCAATATGCTATATGTTATTATTTTTTTTTAAATATCAGTAATAAATTTATCAGGATAATTAGACTTGAACTGCAGGATCATTTATCAAAGTTCCCCCAGAACGAGGACAAAATGGGCTGTGATTGGATATAAAACTCCTGGGCTGAAAATTGGTCCCACTTCATGCCTGACCAAGATCCTTCTTGTGTAATGACCAGCAAGTCTACCTGCACTAGTCCACTGAGCAAGGAATCAAGATGACGTTTTCACTATCATTGCCTTTATGATATGTGGTTCCAGTATATCCTGGTTGTCCGCTCTTGGCGCCTATTGCCATCATTCCAAGGGGGACATACAACCTTTACAACCCACAGTGTTCGTAGGACCTCTGGCACCACCTTCCTCGACATCAGATTGTATAATTGCCGACCTGCCATGAAACGAGGCTGACTTCATTCCTGCCCTTGCTACACATCAGCACCTCACATTCTGACTCTTGTCTCACTGGGCAGGAAAGGAGACAGATCGATCATTTCCAATCCTCCTTACAGATACTCTACATTTGAAAACCATGCACTTACCATCATCAACCCTGCCAAACTGCATATTATTTTGTTTCATCAACCAGGCTTACTAGGAAACTTCACCGAAGAACCAGATATGCTTCTGTCAACCATCCCATTTCATTAAATTAACTTTTATTTCTTTGAAATGCTTATTCCCTTTTTCACATTTATCATACATGGAACAGTATATGAACAAAGATACAGTGGCACCTGTACCCACGAGTGTCTGAGGCCACTAGTAACTTGAGTCACGAGCATTTTTATATAATAAAATTTTGCTGTACCCACGAGCAATGATTGAAGCCACGAGCGGTACTGCGAGCCCGTCCGCCTCATTATCTCCATATGCATAAACAATGGGGAACAAGGAAAACTTGCCCACGCAGGTCAGCGGTGGTCAGGTAAAACAGTCCTTAATGCAAGATACGTACGTACAGATGTGAATTACAATACGGGAAAGAGGTACATATCCTTCACGCATAGGCTAACTGATTGCCGTATCGTAAGCAATTTTTTGTAAATTTGTGATAGCACTGATAATTTGCCTTTTTTTCTACATTTTTATTAGTAACACAATTTACTGTAATATTTAGGCTTGTTGTTAGCGACAATTTTTTATGCTCGCTGTAGGCTATGCCGAGCAGCCTAGGCTAGCCTATGGGTCTCTTTCGTGTACGGCCATAGCGCAGTTTTTTATGCATTTAAAGATGAAAGGTGTGTCTAATATGCCGAAAAATATGATATTCTCAATCAATATTACTTATATTGTCACTAAAAGCTCAATTATTGTGCCTTATAAATGTTTTGTATGGGGGTATTTTGGGGCTGGAAAACCAATTAATCCCTTTCCCATTATTCCTCATGGGAAAAAAGTTTTGTACCCACAACAAATTGTACCCACGAGCTGTGTCTTCAAACCAATTACGCTTGTGGGTACAGGGATCACTGTATATGAGCGGGTCAGGCCCTTACAGAAAATTTTAGGAGTTTTATTAAGGACAGAACTGAAGGGTACTGTACCAAGAACCCTAAAAAGGCAACAAGACAGAACCAAGCTAACAAAGGACAAAGAGACTAACGAGAAACATCTGGCTAATTCATGTAGGGACGTCACGCACAGAAAAGGTATAAAAATGGATGTTGATTTGTGAAGGGAGGCTCTTCTCCATTGCATGCTGGGTGCCCCAGCGCACACAGACAAAATAAATAGTAAACTTCTCCCACCCTAAAGTGTCGGCAATTTATTTACATTCATCTGAAATTTTT